AATAATGCTAAGCAAAGTGATGGAAAGTTTATTTAAAGAAAATTGTCCTAAACTGGGCGGCGGTGGTACATGCCTTTAATCCCAGCACTCAGGGAGGCAGAGACAGGAGGATCTCTGTGAGTTCGAGGCCAGCCTGGTTTACAAGAGCTAGTTCCAGGACAGGCACCAAAGCTACAGAGAAATCTTGTCTCGAAGGGCCAAAAAAAAAAAAAAAAAACTATTTATTATGTATGCAGTGTTCTGTGTGCACACCAGAAGAGGATGGTTTTGAGCCACCATGTGGTTGCTGCGAATTGAACTTGGTCCTCTGGAAGAGCAGCCAGTGCTCTTAACCTCTGAGCCATCTCTCCAGCCCTCAATAATTTTTTAATTACATTGAAGATAATTATTTTTTATCCTTAAATATTAGAGATGATTATTTAAGGGCAAGAATCTTTAAGGACAGTAGTATGACATTGTTTGTTTCCTTTATAACTAGTTCATTTTAAGTTGAAAAATGAAGTGTATACAAAGTATACTTTTTACAACCAGTCAGCAGAGGAATCAGCTTGAATTATTATATAGTGAATTATTATATAGTACCTACTGTTAAGGGTATTTACTAGTTTTGAAAACATTTTCCACTCACATTTGTCTCAACAGTAAAGAATTTTATCTCTCCAAACCTGTGTAGGCGTTTATTGGTTGTCTCTAAATGACTGAGATGGTTTTGCTACATTTTGTCTACTTTTCTGTGTTGGGACATAATGCTGAGAGGTCTAACCCATGCTGGAGCGGCCATAAAGAAGAGTGACTGTAGAAAAAGACCCAAGAAGCCCTAGATATTTTGGGTTTTCTCAGCCAAAAATATTTGAGCCATTCTTAACACCCTTCTAGCCTCACTGTCAACCAGACTAACCTTCTGATAGATCCCAGGTGATGCCTCAGAAATATGAGCAATAATGGAAAATGATTGTTACTGTCTTATAGCATCTTCAGATAATTGGGGCTTGTGTGTATTTACTGAATAGATTTATGCTCTGAACCAGATTTTAAATATGATAGAGTCTGAGGGACAAGGTTTAAGATCTCACTGTGGTAAGGAAAGGTTTTGTAGGTTGAAACACTCATTAGGTGTTTAAGCCTCCTTTCTTCAATGATTATTTGTATTTCTTTTTGATTGGCATGCAAGATATTAGATATCATGACATTTTCAAATAAGGGTGTGTTTTGTTAGATTCTCCCCTGATATCTTCCCTATCTCATTGTTTCCCATAGCCCTTCCTCCATCTCTTCCTCTTTCATGTCACATGTATCTTTCAAATTTTTAATTGAATTGTGTGTTTGTTAATAGTGCCAGGCTAGAAGTAGGGAAAATTAGATTTCAAAGACTTGATTTCCCAATTCATAGTTATCATAGAATAGATAATCTAAATTTCTTCATTTCCTAGTTTCCTGTTTTATTTCAGTTAATACATTAGTGGTTTTAGTGATAGAGAAGATAAAACGTAGTCATTTATATCGGGGAATAGCAAAACATTTTATTAAGGGTTAGAAAAGCTTTGTGAATCACAATTCCTGGTTACATTACTTATCTGCCAAATTTTGCTAAGCCTGTATTTAGCTTGTTACAGACTATAGTACAAATAAAACTGTACTCATCTAGAAAGATTGGTTTTCTGGATTAAGTGAATTTTAAATGTTTCTGGCTATACAAGGCCAAGGTTTGGGGCACAATTAATTTGAAATTCATACTACTTTTTAAAAATACTTTGCATTCGTGTTGTGTCCTGCTTTTCATCTAATTGTAGATTTTGGAAGCTTGAACTCCCAACTCATATTTACCTGCACTATGTAAGTACTTTTGGCTAGCTTTTCCTTTTGGTTTTCCAAGATAGGGTTTCTCTGGGTAGCCTTGGAAGCTTGCTGGTCTTGAATTTACAGAGATCCACCTGCCTCTGGCCACCTCGAGGCCAGCCTGGTCTACAAGAGATAGTTCCAGGACAGGCTCCAAAAGCTACAGAGAAACCCTGTCTCTAACAACCAAAAAACAAAAACAAACAAAAAGAAAAAGTGCTTTTAGCCACTGAGCCACCACTGTAACCCCGAGCTTCTAATTCTTTCTGCCTTCTTTATTTCATATGGTCATATAGTGAAGGTGCTGAAATGTTAGCAATAAGATGTTAAGTAGGCATTGCATAGTTAGTATTTATCTTGGAAGTTTGTAGACATTATCTGAAACAGCAGTCAGTACTCGAATTTGAAAGTTTTAAAAACATTACACTGTAAAATTGCTTTTTATAAGGAATTATGATGTGGGTGTACCTTGGAAATTTAAATTGTGTATTTTTTTGGTTTTATATTGAGCTCATGAGATGTAATGCTGTTTGGGGGATTATTTCTCATTAAAATTAATTTTATGAAAAGATTTATCTATTTTCAATAGTCTGTATTTTTCATAGTTTTTCACTGTTTTCTGTGAATGTATTTCATTCCTTCAAAACTAGTTGATGCCACTTTTTTTTAACTGATAAAAGAACTTTGAGCAGGTAATTAAGCATCTTTCTAGATTTGGCTTATTTCTAGAAAACTATTGTTTTAGATTTTTAACTTTATGTATATGAGTGCTTTGTATATCTGTGTACCTCATGGTGTGCAGGATGCTCACAAAGGCCAGAAGATGGTGTTGGAACCCCTGGAACTGGAGCTAAGATTGATTGTGAGCCACTTTGTGGGTTCTGGAAACAATCCAAGTCCTGCAAGAACAACACATGCTCTTAACCACGAAACCATAATCTCCAGCCCCTATCCCATTTATTTATTTTTTAAAAGGTAGTGTCTAAAATAGTACTTGCCATCATCATTCTGATCTTGAAGGATCTTTATGTGAAAACACATCAAGATGATATATTCCTTTTTATTCAACATTTTGATTTTCACTCAGAGTAAATGAAGAAATATGACTTATTTCTTCATTTTAGAAAAGTGGTGAAGTACAGATAAATATTCATAACACCCAAAGAAGTCAGTCATGCCAATAACAGATTTTTTTCATCTTTCAATGGAAAGCATTTTTTGTTTTCTGTGTAACGTTGCTTCTCTTATTATTGCTTTTGTTAACTGTTACAGGTATCTTCAGCCCTTTTTCTTTTCCTGTAATTATTAACCTCGCTGCTTCAAATGGGCTTTGTTGCTTACTATAATTGTTTCATCAGGTTTTATGATTGTATAGTTTCTTTTTATTGTAAATTTGCAAAGTTATTTTTTTAACTTTTTATTCTTTGTGTCTTTCACATCATGAATCTCAATTCCATTCATTTTCTGACCCTTCGTGTCTGCCCAAGCAACCTCCTGCCCTCAGTAAAATAAAATGTAAGAGGAAAAATAAGGAAAAAAAATCTCATCATGGAAACACTAGTGTGGCACCAAGTCACACAGTAAATCTTTTTATCTATGTGTCTTTACATGCAAATATTCATTGCAAAGAAGTCATTGGTCTGCTTTGAGGCCTCTGGTTCTATCTATGTTGGACTCCTTGAATATCCTGTTATGTGTTATGACGATCCTACCAGTACTGTCCCCATCACATGCTCCATCCAGGCCAGGTGGATGTTGGTGGGCCAAGTCAAAACCCTGGTTCTGAATCTGAGTAGTTGCAGGGTTGGCCAGCAAAATTGTTCTAAGTTTTGGGGCCTGGAATATGCCAGTTTAGATAGAGTTGCCTTTCTGAGCAACTGAATCTTTTATTATCAGGTTGCAGATATTTAGGGTTTTTTAGTACATTAATTTTGCTATGTAGCTCAGGCTGGTCTGGAGTTTGAATATCCCCTCGGTAGTTTTTATTCTTAAAGTTATTTTAATGACAATTTCAGATCAATAAAGTCTTTACTGAAGTAGTACCTTGTGTACTCCAAGTGCATTCTGTAAACGTCACCATTTGTCACATTTGTGTTTCTGGCATTTCATTCTTCTTTCAGGTTAATCTGTCTTCATTGAATCTGTGGGTAAATGCTTGTGAATCTTTTTCTTGAACTATTTGCTATGGGTGTGATGCATCTTTACCCTTAAGTACTTAATTTCCTTAAGCATGTTATCATAATCACAAAATTAAGACTCAGTCTTGGATACGGCTATGTTTGTCTCATTTCCTGTATGCTGATGAAATGTTTTTTTGTGTGTGTGTGTTTCATAATACACATTCAAATTATGCATCTTTGGATATTAGTATCACAAAACTACTATTCTGACCTAAGTGAGCCATATCTGGAGTTTTTTGTGATGGTGATGCTAACTTTGATTACTTGTGCCAACTGGTATGTACCATCTTTTCATACCTTAAATGGTATGCTTCTGGTTTGAGAGATGAGAACTATATGTATATCCATTATTGTTTAATGGGAATGATCCTTAAGTAAAAGCTCTTTGGAGGTTATGGACAATTTTTTAAAAAAAAATTTAAAAACAGTCTTTATATTACATACCAATCTCAGTTTCTTCTCCCTCTCTTGTTCCTGCTCTCTCCACAATTCCCCCATCCCTTATGGACTTTTTTTTTCCTTTAAAGATTCGTTTAGGCCGGGCGGTGGTGGCGCATGCCTTTAATCCCAGCACTCGGGAGGCAGAGGCAGGCGGATCTCTGTGAGTTCGAGACCAGCCTGGTCTACAGAGCTAGTTCCAGGACAGGCTCCAAAGCCACAGAGAAACCCTGTCTCGAAAAACAAAAAAAAAAAAAAAAAAACAAAAAAGAAAAGAAAAGATTTGTTTATTATGTACACAGTGTTTTGGCATGTATGCCAATACACCAGAAGAGGCCACCATATCTCGTTATAGATGCTTGTGAGCCATCATGTGCCTGGGAAATGAACTCTGGACCTCAGGTTAAGCAGTCAGTGCTCTTAACCTCTGAGCCGTTGTTCCAGCCCCCATGAGCATTCTTAATTAAAATAAATGATTTTTATAAGTATTAAAAAGTAAGTGATTAATAATACTGATTTTTTTCTATTTCTTAAATGTGTTTGCAGATGGGGAACTTAATGTTTTAGATGATATTTTGACTGAAGTACCAGAACAGGATGATGAACTCTACAATCCAGAGAGTGAACAGGATAAGAATGAGAAAAAAGGTAAGAATCTGTGATTTCTGTCAAAATTCACAGTTTAAGTAGGGTATTCAAACCCCCCCCCCCGTCCTGTCCCCTCCCCTGCCCTGCCCCCTACCCAGACAGTTCCTGTGTAGTTTTGGAGCCTGTCCAGGCTGGCCTTGAATTCAGAGATCTGGACGCCTCTGCCTCTCAAGTGTTTGAGATTGAAGGCTTGTGCCACCAGCACCCAGCTCAATTCAGTTTCTTAAGAAAAATCTCTGCTTTTGTACTTGTTCCTTGGCTTTTAGTACTAAAAGCCCACAGTAAACTTTTTCATAACAGATCTTAATCATATGAATAAAAACACTTTAAAAAAAGTCTGGAAAGATAATTTGACATTTATGAGCACTTGCTTTAGCAGAGGACCAGGGATCAGTTTCCATCACTCCCTTGGCAGTTCACAATTACAGAAGATCCAGTACCTGCTACTGATCTCTGCAGGCACCAGACACACTGGGGCACAAATACATGCAGTTCCAAAACACATAGAAAATAATACTTAAACCCTTTCAAATAATGGGCTTTTAGTTCAGCAGTTGGAAAGCTGTTTTGTTTAAATTTGTTCTGGAGTTAAGATATTTTAGGAGGTATTTTAAAGAATTGATATTTTTCTGTTTATTTTTGTACTTTTTCCCTATAACTGATTGATATACATTTATTTATAAATCTCGGGGAAATTAATAGAGTAACACTAATACTTTTATCTATCTTTTTAAATTGTATTTTAAAGGATCAAAAAGAAAAAGTGAACGAATGGAATGTACTGACAGCAAGCGACAAAAGCCTTCCATCCATTCAAGGCAGTTGATTTCTAAACCACTGAGCTCATCCGTTAGCAATAATAAAAGAATAGTTAGTACAAAAGGAAAGTCGGTTACAGAATATAAAAGTGAGGAATATCAAAGATCTGAAAGAAACAAGCGTCTAGATGCTGATCGGAAAATTCGTCTGTCAAGTAGTTCTTCTAGAGAACCTTACAAGACTCAACCAGAAAAAACTTGTCTACGGAAAAGGGATTCTGAAAGAAGGGCCAAGTCTCCTACACCAGATGGTTCTGAGGTAGTAAATATTATTGCAGATAATAAAGCAGTTCTTTTTGAGGCTTTAGAACTTTACTCGTCTTGACCTTGTCTATTAATGACTGCTGATTCCCTTTTTCTTTAAACATCAGAGAATTGGACTTGAAGTTGATAGACGTGCAAGCAGATCCAGCCAATCCTCAAAGGAAGAAGTAAACTCTGAAGAATATGGCTCTGACCATGAGACGGGGAGCAGTGGTTCTTCTGATGAACAGGGCAACAACACTGAGAATGAGGAGGAAGGAGTGGAAGAAGATGTAGAGGAAGATGAAGAGGTAGACGAAGATGCAGAAGATGATGAGGAAGTGGATGAAGATGCAGAGGAGGAGGAAGAGGAGGATGAAGAGGAAGAAGAGGAGGAGGAGGAGGAAGAAGAGTATGAACAGGACGAGAGAGATCAGAAGGAAGAGGGAAATGATTATGACACCCGGAGTGAGGCCAGTGATTCTGGTTCTGAGTCTGTTTCCTTCACAGATGGATCTGTCAGATCTGGGTCAGGAACGGATGGCTCAGGTAGTGCTTTTTTTTTTTCTTTTTCTTAATACGACAGCTTGTTCTTCCTTTTTGAGGGATTTGGGGTGATAAGGGGTTTTGTTACCTTTTATCTTTAGTTACATTTCCCTGAATGTCAATAATTTCAAGTAAAATTTATAGATTTCAGGATATTTCCTGGCTGTAAGTTTAGTATAAATTTGTGTGAGTCCAAGTTTGTTTATATGAAAGTATTTCAGGCTTTAGTTTTATAGGTTCTTAATATTTTCATCACTGACAGTAGCTTTTTCAGATATATATGCATTTGGTGTGTATTCATATGGAATCTTTACACTCGTTATTACGGCATTTTCATGGTAGAATGTCCCTACATTTCTATCATGTGACAGTAGAGCCAAAGAAACAAGTACATTCCTTCCCCAAAATGAAAGATTTTCTTTTTATTCAGTACTTGACTGAGAGCCTGTAGAGGTGTGAGGTTGATGTGTGATGAAAAAGAATATAAATATCTTGTTAGAAAGACTGGGTAAGAGGTTATCTCTTTAATACTACTTTTCTTTTTTGAGGGTTTGGCTATGGTTTATTCAGTGGGTAAGGGGAGGGAGGGAGACAGGGAGAGAGACAGACAGAGGAGGAGGGGAGGGAGAGAAGAGGCCCTAGCCACCTCTTCCGAAGTTAGATGGGGCAGAGAGCTCCCTTTATGCTACTTAATCTATGGAATAAAACATAAGCCTACTCACAAGAACAAAGTGCCCTTTGCTGAAAAAAGGTTCAGGGGTCACAGCAAAAAGAGGAACTTACAGTTTCATGGGTATTTCTTGTCAGGATGATACCAGATCAGATGAGCTACCTAATTGAAATAATCTATATTACAGAATTTTACTATTAGTAGGTCATTGCAATGACAGTAATCGACCAGTTGCTTTGTAGCAGTTGGAAACTGAAGTGCTTTTAACCTTGTGTTCACTTGAGTAGTGGGTTCGAGGATTTAAGTATTTATCTTTCTTTTTATACAATTGAGAGAAGTCTTTAAAGAAGTATTTAACCGAATAGATGATAGTTAGATTTGATGTAAAAAGTTGGAGGAAGTTTGTTCCATCATTTATTTTACTAATGGGCTGAATTTTTTATACTCTGTAATGGATAGGAAGTATAAATCAATTGGCAAGGTGTGTGTAGTACTCTAAGCCTGAAATTATAGGCACTTGGGAAGGTAATGCAGAAATTATTGTGGGTGGGTTTGAGTCTTTCTATCCTGGTCTGTGTAAGACTGTTTCAAAAGCAAAACCAAAAATGTTGCTATTGTGAAGAATCACCAATTTTGGAGATATGTGAAACCACCCATAGGACTAGAGGAATTTTTTTTTTTACAGGATTGTATGTTTTTGGGTATTGAATCAAATAATGGGGTTTGCGGAAATGCTTAGAACCTGAAACATTTTTCTTTTTATTTAATAAGTTTTTACATGAATTTGTTAGTAGTATAGTAGACTACTTCATGTTATATTTTTGTGGAGAATATATTTTCAATTTAAAGGGTAGCCTATCATTTTACAACAAATTCATAATTTTTAATAATAGATTGTTATAAAAGAGATACCTGGAACTGAAAATTATGTGGCTTTTACTTAAGACACTATCCATAGGTAACTTTTCTTATATTTTATTTTATAAATATTACTTGAAAGAAATGATGTTACTTTGAAATTTTTGATTTGGATATGCCAGTTTTTAAGCATTTAAGTTCAGTATCACAAGCTTTCTAGCAAGATTGCATTTCATTCTCTAGCTGAACCTTTTCTCAGAATTTTTATTAATTTATACTCAGTGGCCAAAGCTTTTTTGGTGTTAGGAGAGTTTCATTATACTTTTGACCTGAGTAGTAACTTCCATGTACTTAAAGGTAGTACAAGTTATATAAAATGCTGGAAATTCCTTTATTAATGTCAGGTTTGCTGTACTATAAATTCAAGATCTTCTGTACCTGTTTGTATTTTCCTTCTATTATCTCTTTGAGGGATTTTAGCCACAAGAGATTTTCTTACTCGGAATTTGTAAAGTTTTTACCCTTGAAATGTTCAGGGAATAAAATTCAAACATACCACAGCTTTGAAAAAAATAATAATTTTTAAAGAAAATAAACATAACGTTGCTCAATAATTACCAGGATGTCCTTGCCTTAATACATTAAAGGTACCATGGACAATCTGCAGCATCTTGATGGGTACTAGTGCTTTCAATAAACAACAAAACAAATCTGTAAAATACCTTCTTCATTTACTCAGAAAGAAGGGAGCATAAGTATTGTACTCTTTAGATTGAAGGCAAGTTGTGTCTTGCAACTGAGGAACTGTGGGACCTCAGCATTGCTTGGTTCTGTGTTTTGTTTTGTTTTGTTTTTGTTTGGTCAAGGCTTCCATATCTAAACACAGTGAGCATGCTCTAAGAATTCAGAGAGAAGAAAATTTAGTTTTTAAGTAGTTAACTGTGACAGTATATAGTAGGGTAATGTATGTGTGACCCCTGAATTTCATTTCAACTTTCCATTGCTTTTGTTTTTCAAGGCAGGGTTTCTCTGTAGCTTTGGAGCGTGTCCTGGAACTAGCTGTTGTAAACCAGTCTGGCCTCGAACTCACAGAGACCATTGTTGTTTTTTTTAAAGATAATTTATCCTTATATTTCTTGTCTCCCAGCTACCAGTTGAAGGGGTTTATTGTATGATTACAATGGCAAGCACCCACACGTTCCAAATTAAGCTCGTTGTGGTGGGGAATCAGTTTTTGTTTATGTTAATATGTGTGTGTTTTCCAGTCAGAAAGCTTTGTTTTCTAGTGTTTGCATACATCACAGTGAGACTTCTGAGGAAGGTACTAGTGTAGTTCCAGCAAGCAACAGGACTTAATACAGCACTGTTCATGGTACATACAAAATACTCACTAAGTTTAATTGGAGAAAATTGTATTTGCTTTACAAATTTCCCTCTCTTGTGGAAAACTTTTTTTATAAAGCAGTTAAGTAAGTACCTGACTTCTTTTATATTCATGTTTTTATTGATATGCGTGACAGGGTCAAACATACTTCTTAGCAGTATTTTTTTTTAAATGAGACTAAGGAAGTTAAGCAATGAGAAGATGAAGAAACACGGTTAATGTTTAAGAGCTGAATGACAGACAACACTAGATTGAGGACAACTTCTCATTTGAAATGCCTGTTGGAGCCTTTTTTGTATTGTGATATTTTAAAAACTTGTCTGGATTTTTTGTTTTAGATGAGAAAAAGAAGGAAAGGAAGAGAGCTCGAGGTATATCACCCATTGTTTTTGATAGAAGTGGCAGTTCTGCATCAGAGTCATATGCAGGTAATCCCATTTAATTTTAGGATTATAGATGACTGATTATAACCTGCTTAAGAAAGTGTGGAGGTTGTAGTTTAGTGTGAATTGTTGATGTCCTTTAGTACTGAATTTTGGCATGTTCAGTGTAATAATTCTAGAGGAAACTAAGCTTTTTTCTTATTTTAATCCTGTTCTGTTACTGCTTCAGTGGAATTTTCAATTTTCACTTTTTTTTTTTCTCTTGGAAGATGATGATTCAGTGACTAGTTTTCTGAGTGGGAAACTGTTCAAATATACCAAAAAAAGGAAAAACAAAAGAAAAAAATTCGAACAACTCAAAAAAACAAAACACTCGTACACATTGAGAAATATTTTTTTTGTGTGTGTGGGTGCGCCAGGAAGAATTAACTTTGTCTTTAATGAGAATTTTATGTGACAAGACTGTAGAAATTTTGTCTTCATCTATTAAAGCTCAATCTGAACAAATGTACTTTGGCTAAATACAGGTTCAGAAAAGAAGCATGAGAAATTATCATCTTCCGTTCGTGCTGTCCGAAAAGGTATCATTTAAATTTGAAATCGTTTTCATTGCATGCTTCATAAAGTCATTATTTTACCTTATTGGTTCTCCATCAGTAGTTGGTTTAATGTGGTCATGTTCCGATATATCATGTTTAAGGGAGAAAGTATTATAAACTAAAACAGAAAATTCCGTTCTTTGTGTCTGCTTTTTGTTGCCTTTCACAATAATTTTAAACAGCTCGGGATATTTTAGTTTCTAGACATAATGATTGATATATCCAAACATTTGGACATATGTTTAACAGCATAATAGTCTGTATCAATCTTTAGATGAATCTGATAATAGTTTAGAACTTGAAAACATTGTCATACTTAAGTGTGGGTCTGATATACCGGAACATCGCTGGGTAAGGCTGCCCTGCACAGTGCTGGTTCTCTCTCCTCTACTTTACTTTATTCTGTTGTGCCTGAGCTTTCTAGGCTGATTGGGTGACTGGAGTTTTTACAGTTTAGCTGGGTTTAGTATAGTTGTATAAGTCCGTGGTTAATGAAACTGGATTTCTGTTTTTGTTTTTGTTTTTTGTTTTTTTCCAGATCAAACCAGTAAACTCAAATATGTCCTTCAGGATGCAAGATTTTTCCTCATAAAGAGTAACAATCATGAGAATGTGTCTCTTGCCAAAGCTAAGGTATTAGCATTAACCTTATTGAAACAGTCTCAATTCTAAAATGTTGACGTGCCACGATGAATGAAAACTACCTCCAGTAGCATAAGATGCTTTGAATTTCCCAGTTGCCACTCTAGATCTGCTTTCTGGCGAGTATGGACACCTGGTAGTGGTATGAATTCACCTTTTTCTCACCCTAGAAACCATAGTGCAGTGTTGAAGAGTGTGTCATTTATACTGTAATAGATGTGTTTCTGTTAATATTCCTATATCCAGCCATTATAATATCATCTGGATTTAGAAAAAACCGTAGCTTTAAAGGTCTACCCGAGATTTTATCAAAAAGATTATCAGTTGCTAGAGGATATTGAAGAAATACACTACATTTATGCTTTATGCCAGTTACTATATTTTCAAATTCTTAAATTGAATAACATTTTCAATTGATTATCAGAACGTTCACATTTATAAGCATATTTCCGTATTAATAGTGTTTCTGACTTGTACCAATGATTATACAAAACATTACAGAGAGAATGATTCTACTTGTTTTAAGCTGAGGTAATGACGTGCTAAAACATGAATTAAAAGACCACAGATTGCTAAAGAAAATTGAGCTTCTTTGTCTTCACCTTACTTTTTTCTTTTTTTAAAATAAAAATTGGTTAAAACTGATTCAGGAGTTTAAGTAGCTATGTTTCAGTCCTCGTTACAAATAGACCTTTTCAACTTAAATTCTGAACTTAGGAAAAACTAGAATTTTGGCATTTTTGTTTTTTTTTCAAACTTACGGTTTTACTGCTGATAGATTATTTTAAATTTATGTGATTAGTTGCACTGTTGAGGAAGACAGAAGTTGCCATTAAGCTTTTAGTAATATACTTACCAGAATAAATTACTTTGATTTTAGGATAACTAGTCATTGATACTACAGAATTCTAGTTTGTAAGATTTTCCTGACAATTCCCTTTGTTAAGATTTTGTAAAGTTGTTAATTTTTTTATTTTTATATAATATAAATATTTGATATATATTATATATCAGATAAGTAGTTTCCAATTACTTTTACGTCCAATAAATAAGACTTTTTTGTTAGAGCTTTCTTAAATTTCAGACACAACATAGTAGCTTGATAGTTAATGGACTTGCATTTAATTTCAGTGTGTGACCTTTTCATTATTTTTATAGGGTGTGTGGTCCACATTGCCTGTAAATGAGAAGAAATTGAATCTTGCATTCAGATCTGCAAGGAGTGTTATCTTAATATTTTCTGTCAGAGAAAGTGGAAAATTTCAAGGTAAGATTAAAAGTTATTTATTTTTTACATACAACAATAATAGTTATATCAACACTTAAATTACTTTGTGATACTGTGTGGTTCATTAGGTTTTGCCAGACTGTCTTCAGAATCACATCATGGTGGATCTCCTATACACTGGGTGCTTCCAGCAGGAATGAGTGCTAAAATGCTTGGAGGCGTCTTTAAAATTGACTGGATTTGCAGGTAAATTGCACACACTAGTATAGAGGAACTTGACATGTTTTGAATGGGCAACTGGTTGAGAATAGTGTTAAAATGCTGTAATAGTTTGATTAAGGGAGAATTTCACGGCATGTTCATATTTAGTACACACAACATTAAATATCTGAAACAAACGAGATGAATTCTGGTCTTTACAAGATGACTTGGAATTGAAAGGCATTAGAAGTGTTACAAATAACAAAACTAAGGGCGGTGGCAAACAGCTATGACATCAACACATGAGAGTGGACAGAGGCAGGATCACTGAGTTAAAAGCCAGACTCAAGAAACAAAATGGGGAGTGAAATAAATACCCCAAGAGATTGTATGAGAACCAGATAGATAGTGATATGAAAAGAAGAGCCAAAAGGATAAGAATAGTAATATGGCCCATCCAGGAAATACTTCATGAAGCTAATTGGAAATATTGTATTAGGTTGCCTTTGAGTACAAAGCCCCAAAATTATGCCATTCAAATTCTTTTAAGATTTTAGTTTTTGTTTCAAAGATTTTTTTCTTTTTTGTTTGTTTTTTTGTTATTTTGAGATTAAGGTCATAGTTCTTTTTATGTACCCCTAGCTATCCTGGAACTGACTCCAAACCAGGCTATCCTTGTACTCACAGAGACCCTTCTGCCTCTGCATTACAAGTGCTGGGATTAAAGCGTGTACCACTATACCTGACTCTTGTTTTATGTGTATAAGTGTGTCTGTTTGCATGTGAGTGTAGGCGCACAGGAGTCTAGAAGAGCATCAGTTCCCCTAAAGCTGGAGTTAGAGGTAGCTGTGAACCCACAACTATGGGTGCTGGGAACTATTTACACTGGGCTGTCTCTCCAGCCCACAAATCACTTTATGATCACTTACTATAAAACTGAAAGGCAATCAAATTTTGTTAAATAAATACAAAATTGATTGAGTGAAGTATGTTTTATTTCTTATATACAACATTTTGCAAAAATAAATGTACATGCAATAACATGTAGAAAATATATTTTAAAATATATAATTACAGTGCATTGGAATGAGAGTATTGCTGATGCTGCTGACTCTCCTTTCCTGGTTTACATGTATGTAGTTTTTTTTTTTTTTTTTTTTTTTTTTCGAGATAGGGTTTCTCTGTGGATTTTGGTGCCTGTCCTGGAACTAGCTCTTGTAGACCAGGCTGGTCTCGAACTCACAGAGATCCGCCTGCCTCTGCCTCCCAAGTGCTAGGATTAAAGGCATGCGCCACCACGGCCCGGCCATGTATGTAGTTTTTTAAAAAAAAATAATTTGGGAAAGTTATAATACCAACTTTTAAATTTTGGTGAGATGACTCTGCAGGCAAAGGTACATGGTATGAAGTCTGAGGGCCTAGTTTGAAAGGAGAGAATTGACCTTATGCACACACACACTATTATGAAATTTGTTGATAGATTGTTTTTTAGTTGATATAGGTAAAAACTTTTTTTTGCGAGTGCATAATTGTAAAGACCAAAGGAAATATTATAATATGAAAGTTTGTCATTGTGATATATTTTTTGAGAACAAAACACAAAATTAAATTATATTTTATAATATATTCTGTTAGATTGTTACTTGTATTGATTTTTATATGCTCAAATTGGTAAATTCCTTAATTATAAAAGATGTAAATTGTTTTGATAGTAACATTTTATTTTTTACATTGACTTCATCTTACCATCTTGCTAACTTGCAACTAAACTTAAACTGTATTTAGCATGGCCATTCATAAGGATACCCAAATAAATAATCCAGCTTACTTAGACTTGATATAAAGTTTAAGACAAAAAGATTTTTACTTTCTTAAATTATTAGGTGTACCTAGGTACAATTTCTTAGGTGAAACTAATTTTTAATGCCTCAGTTTTATTAAAGTGTTAGTTATTTCATGAAAATTCTGGAGTAAGCAGTGTTTTATGGATACTTGTTAAATTGATACTTCAGGTAAGTCATTTGAAGACTGAGTTTTGCTTTTCTCTACAAAATGGAATTTATATTACCTTGTCAAAGTTTGAACTCCTAATAATTCAGGTAGTTTGTAGCCATATTAAAGTTGAAATAGAGTGAATGCTTGTATACAAGGAAGAAAGACGTGTTTAAGTGCCTATGTTGCCACCTGGAATGAGCTAAGAATACCATCTACCCAGAATTAAACTACCATCAGTAGCCAAACCACTATTATATCACATAAAAGGCCTCACTGTTTTATATTCTTTTGTTAAATTTGTCTCCTACAGAGTCTTGGTCTTTGCAATAATATATATCTGCACTATTTTTCATTGCTTATCTGTTCAAAAAGTGACTAGATAGATGCCTATTCTGTAACTGTGAACAGGTAGTGTGGTACATGTATCATGAGTGCTCTTATTTCTCTCATACACTAACTAAATTTTGTTTTCTCTGTGGTATCACAGTTGTCTGTTACATCCTGGTTGAGATTAACTAGTATCATCCAGCATTGTACAGTTTCTTCAGTCTAATATGATTGATGGTAACAAAAAGTCATAGCCCTAAATGATGCGTATGGTTTGGCAGAGTCCTTTATTTTATATATTGTGCTATTCTTCTCCCAGTGATAAAAATAATAATCTATAACTGTATTTTGTTAGCTCTTAAGTTTTCAGGTCTGTGATTTTTTTTTTAACTTTATTTTTTATGCATTGATACCAAATCTCCTGGAACCTGAGTTAAAGACAGTCGTGAGCTGCCATGTGGTTGCTAGGAATTGAACCAGTGCTCCTAACTGCTAAGCCATCTCTCTATACCTTCTCCACCCCCATACCCCCGTAAATGTTTTAAATTGTTAACTTGTAAGAAAAATTAAAAAAAAAATGTATTGAACAAAGTCAGGTATTAATGGAGCCATCTACATCCGAAAGAAGGGTTGGGGTTATAGTAGTGTGCCATTTAGCATACCAACTGTGGGTGTCTTTTGAATAATTTGGTTTGTGTTGTAGGTTCATTAATTTGATAGTACACATTATAGACAGGTGGTAGAGGTCTTTTCAGTGCTTTCCAGTTTTATTTTTCCTTTGTAGCTGATTCATGCTTGTTGTGTTTTATAAATAACCCAGACTCTTCTTTGTGCCTTGTTGATAAGCTGAGTAAATGTGTTTACAATTTTGGGTTTCATAAAGAATGTAATTCTTCTTAAGGATCATCTGTATTAGTTTTTTTAGAAAAAGAGCTAGGTTTTGAAGGTGCTTTCTGTAGAGAATTATATATACTGCCAGTGTAAATGATTCTTTAAATTTTTGATACATTCAATTCACAGTTAATTATTGACTACCACCGTAGTACAGCATCTTCAAGATATTCTTCAATAGAATATAATTTATACTGTTTTATATTTAGGCGTGAATTGCCCTTCACGAAATCAGCTCATCTCACCAACCCTTGGAATGAACATAAGCCAGTCAAGATTGGGCGTGATGGACAGGTTTGTTTAATTTTTAAGCTACATTATTCAGCCACTTGTAGACCTTTATTGAAGGACACTCTAAAACTGTGAATTGTGAAAAACGAGGTATTGTGATTCTGATTGACTACTAAGATGGTCTGTTAAGGTTGGAACTCATGTAAATCGTACTTTGACTGATAAAATTGAAGGGAGAGTGATGAGAGAAGTGACCCAGTTTTTGTAGTTTTCATTATAAGTTTTTTAAATGTGGAATGCTTCATGAGTCTGCATCATCCTTTTGGAAGGTGCATACTACTCTTGATTTTAGTATATGTGCTGAATTTTTTTCTGAATAGAATATGACCACTGAAGAGACAGATATGTACACATATGCACACATGTGTTTTCAAATTAAAGTAAACATGTGTTATAATGATTTAAAAGTAAGCCCAAACCTTTTATGCTTAGAGTTCCCTTAATATTCATATTTTTCCTATTGCTTGTGAGTAAAGTGTTGGTAATTAAAAGTAATAATTTTGTGTAAGCTTGTATGTTAGTCTGCCTCTCTGTAGGTATTTCTCAGGCGTATTCTTTAAGATGAATGACTTATATTTTTGTGTTTTTACAAACATTTCTTTGGATAGAATGAAATCGAGAGCAATAGAATTTTAAGCAGCTGTACTTGTGGGTGAGATTATATACTTGTAGTTTCTATTCGTCAAATGCATTAAACTCTTTAGAAGTAATTTTTGTTTTTGTTTTTCTTTTTGAGACTGGGTTTCTCTGTAGCTTTGAAGCCTGTCCTGGAACCAGCTCTTTTTTTTTTTTTAATATTTATTTATTATGTATACAATATTCTGTCTGTGTGCATGTCTGCAGGCCAGAAGAGGGCACCAGATCTCTTTACAGATGGTTGTGAGCCACCATGTGGTTGCCGAGAATTGAACTCAGGACCTTTGGAAGTGCAGGCAATGCTCTTAACCACTGAGCCATCTCTCCAGCCCCGCTGGAACCAGCTCTTACAGACCAGGCTGCCCTCGAACTCACAAGAGATCTGTCTCCAGAGTGATGGGATTAAAGGCATTTGCCACCACTGCCCGGCTTTGGAAGCATTTTTATATAAATAAATATAAATAAACCTTTAAGCTTATTAGAATCTTGTGTTTAGTTCCTTGAGAAAAAAATCTTTGAAGTCAGTGTTCAGTTTTGTACATGAGGATACTATATGTCTTTTGAGAGATTCTATTTTGCTCTTAATCGTTATTTTTAACATTCCAGGAAATTGAACTTGAATGTGGAACCCAGCTTTGTCTTCTGTTTCCCCCTGATGAAAGTATTGACTTGTATCAGCTCATTCATAAAATGCGTCACAAGAGAAGAATGCACTCTCAGCCTCGATCAAGAGGACGTCCATCCCGTCGAGAACCAGTCCGGGATGTGGGAAGGTTAGAAACGTTCTTTGGACTGATAATAGGCACATGTATCGGGATAACATGATGGAGGAATGTGATTCGTCAAAAGTTTGTTCTGCGGTAAAGAAGAAAGAGAAAATCCTCAAATCAAGCTGCATGGACTAGTTTGTGGCTTCATTGAGGATTTCACATGGTCACCTTGGTCTCAGTCATTTTTTTCAAGCGGAAAATGGGGATCTTTCCTAATGCAGAAAAAATAATTTACTAACAAGTGATGACCACTTTAGACTAGCTAGTAGTACTCTGATAAAACAGTACGCAAGTGAAATGAGGTAGGCATTTTGTTGCTCAGAACAGGTTAGAAAGGAGGAAGAGGAGGAAGTCTTTATTTGCAAAAATTGTTTATATTTTATAAAAAGCCTTTTCTTTCAGGTGTGTCTCTGGATAAGCCTTATCACAATATGGGACTTTTATAAAGGATCACTAATATTTTTTGAGAAGATGACGCCTCACTTAGAGGATAAAATGTTTTAAGTTATTTCATACTCAAGAGGAGCATTATTGGGACTGTTTCCAATTTTGTCACCGTGATGTGTTAACCCCATTGCCACATATTCTGTAACATGTGCCCAGTGAATTCATACATCCTGCTGAGCTTCTGAAAACAATAGGTTCTTTCCAAAGGGGATCAAGTGGCCCTGGGAGACCCGGCAACAAACCAAAACGAAGGGCTGTTGCTGTGTCTATTTACAACCTTTCCAGATGCTGGCAGTACCTGTGGACTTAAAGTGTTTTTTAGAGGATCGCCATGGTTATTGATCACTACCTTATGAACTAAACAGCATTTTCCAGGAAAAGGGGGTTTAACTTGTTACAGAATTGGAGAGAAGTCTTTGAAAAGAACTGATTTAAGCCCTTCTACCCAACACCTTCCCCTGTATAGATTTGCATACAGCTAAATCTAAAATATTCTGCTAAAGACTATTGGATGTGTGGTTGATGGGATGAAACCTTTGGTTAAGTTTCCTTTGGTGGAAACTACCTGTGGTAGGTACAGATAATCCAACAAGAGTCCCATTTCTTTGAGCTTAAAAAGGACTTTGTCGAGTAGGTAGGAGGAAACCTGGCAGAGCCCCTTACTTTTGGCCTAAAAGGACTGATCACCAAGATGTCTTTTGAAGTTTTAAGCTAAGAGGTTTCCAGTGCAATACAGTATATACAAGTGAAGTTTTTCCTCAGTTTTGCAATGGACTGCAAACTATACTTAAACACCACTACACCTTCTCTCAAGCCTGCCAGGGCCTCCATTTATGTATGTGGCTTACAACTTAAAGTCAGTAGTTGGACTACTATATGAACTGTTACTATCATGTTTTATACCGGTCGTAAATGCACTCCCCAAACTACAAGAAAGCGGTATGTTTGATTTATAAACCAGCTTTTAATTTTCTTAGTACTATTTATTGTAGATGCAACTGTTTTTATTCTGTTGGGGGGGGGTACTTGGATTTGTTGGATTTAACTTTGCAGTTTGAGTGACTTGAAAAGTTTAATGAAAACATTCAGTATTTAGAAAAATAGCTAAAAGAAACTTGATGCTGAGATATTTTATACTATATCTGAAACTAATAGCAAAAGGATATGTTATTTTCTAAATGTTTTGGAGCTTTTGTCTTTATTTTGTTTTAGCTTTTATTAAATGCTAAATTATTAAATGTTTTTATGATGTATTGTATAGCCATCAAGGTTTATAAAAGACAGTGAAGAATAGCCCCTTCAAAAGTTAAACTTTGACCTAGTTTTATGAACTCTGTTAAAACTTCTTACATGACAGTTTATGAGAGCCAGTTTATTATAAGGCATTGTCTGGAAAAAATACCTTAATTACTAATGTTATTAAAGAAAGTAAATGTTGCTGAGATATTAGTTTTTCAAATAACTAACATTTTAAAAGCTTTTCTGTTACATAGCTTTATTATATTTAAAACTTTCTGTATAATGAAGAGTGTAGTTTTGTGTAAAGCAGAGACAATCCTTTAAGGCATTCTTCATTTTGTTTAGATTGGAGCTATATAAATTTTAGAATAAGCTATTGCATAATTGCTGGTATGATTTTCCTTTTGTTTTCACCTGAATGGTGATATTTGGGAAACTATTTGATTTGTTAAAGAATTGCTTCTATGTTTAGTCTACTAAAATGCGGTTTACAGGCTTGAATAAGGAAATTTTTGGGGTTGTCTCATAGTATGAGATTACAGAGATATCTACTCCAGTGTATAAGGTTTCCTTTTGAGGACTTAAGAACTTTAAGGTAAATTGTTCTCCAAAAATTAATGGAGTTGTTTGTTTGTTCTTTTTTTTTTTTTTTTTAAAGTAGGCCCTGGGCTATTCTTTGTACTCATCTCTGTCAAACTCTTGCTTTGCTGTTTGTTTTCCCAGCTGTTTTTGGTTTAATTTCTAATGTGTCTAATTTGTGTAGGCGTCGACCAGAAGATTATGATATTCATAACAGCAGAAAGAAACCAAGGATTGACTATCCCCCTGAGTTTCACCAGAGACCAGGTTAATATTTTATAATCCTGAAGATTATTTGACTTAAAATTATTAAAACAACAAAAAACTTCCAGTAGGTTTAAAAATAAAGAATATTTAGGGCATGACTACTTTAAACCTTAAGAAATTATTGCTAGTTCTAATTAGTAATTCTTCCCCTACCATGCTTAGGTTGTTCTATTACAGCAAATCATAATTTGTTATCTGAAATTGATGACTTTGCCAAAATGGAAATTGATGTGTAAGATGCAGAAAAAAGTGAATTATTTTGTGCTTTATGTTCCCTATGATACGTAGTTTCTCCTATAGTATGCAGCATTAATTGGAAATCAAACAGAAATTACACTTTTTTAAAAAAAGAAATAAAGAACCTGGTAGTGTTTTTGAGAGTGATGGGAAACACTTGGCTTGTCATCCAAGTGTCGATTTTCAGTCAGTTTATTCTTCTCTGGGATAAAAGAACGGTTATGTTTCAATTACTATCACTGAGACATCTGTAAAACTCTAATTTTGGCTATATTATACATGAGTATTTTGTAACAAATGGCTTTATAGTAGCATCCTTTTTCCCTAAAGAAGGTAATTGTGTTCTAGTAAAACAAATACTTTCCCCAGTAATAGGGCAGTCAGATATTTTTATATATTAGTTTGTTGCATCCTTCCTAATGGAAGCAGGGGATAGAGTAGATTTTATTTTGTTACATGGTTCTTGGAGTATATATGTTCATTTTTGCAGCTTTTGCAATTTTGTGTCCTTTTTTGAATCTTCATGCTTTAGCTCATAGCCATAAGTTCTCAAGGTGAAAGGTAAACATTCTTTAAAAAGATCCTCCTGCAATGTCCTCAAACCAGTACAGACTGTACACTCAGGGTAGTCCTCTGCCCGTAGCTCACATGATACATGGGAAGTCCTCTAGTAGTTGAATGAGTAACATCCTTTGAAGTATATTTTTTTCATGGGAAGAATTGAAACAAGGATAAGGAAGGTTTAATTATAATGCTGTAGTAAAAACATGAAATTTGATGTTTGAACAGGGTATTTAAAGGATCCCCGATACCAGGAAGTTGACAGGTAAGTTGGGTTCACTCTTGCTTAGCTTTGAATTACATTCTTGGAACTAGTTTATGAATTACCTGAATTTAGTTTCACTAATCTTATTCCCAACAGACGATTTTCAGGAGTTCGCCGAGATGTGTTTTTAAATGGGGTAAGCATTAAATTTTACATATTTGAAGCTAGGGTCTGATTTCTATTCCCTCTATTTTAATTTATTATTAACATTATCATCTTTTATTTTAGTCCTACAATGATTATGTGAGGGAATTTCATAACATGGGACCACCACCGCCTTGGCAGGGAATGGTTTGTATTACTCTATTTTGTAATACTCTATTTTAACTTCATTTTGCAGTGTTTAATTTCAAATGCTTACTTAGAATGTAACTCCTATTACCTATTAAGAGACATACAAGTTTTTGGTGATAAATGATGTCTTAAAATGAAAGACAAGATTGTTTATGCTTAAGTATGGGCTTAATAATATGGGCTTACTATAGATATATGTAAAACATGGTAATGGTTAGTTTAAGCTCTTAACTAGGTGATGAGATTTATTCTCATCTTTCTAACATTCTGATCAAGTTCCATAATAACATCTGTTTACTTCATTCATAAAATTTACTGGCCATTATAGACTAGTAGTTTGTGCACAGATGTCTGTTTGCTTTGCCATATGTGTTGATAAGTGAAATGAACAGTTAGATTAATCTCTTAAATAACCTTCAGTCAAATAGTGTCAATTTAGAATTGTGCAGAAAATAAAATTTACTAAATTCATGTGAAGTTTCTGTTATACTTAATGGGATAACAAATCAATTTAGCTCCATTTAAAATAGGACTGAATTAAATTTTGAGTTTTAATTTCCTGTCTTCAGGAAATTTTGATATTTTTCTTAAATTATATTCTAAAATGTTAAGAATTTCTGGAAATAGTTTCCAAGAAATAAAACTTTGTATCTGAAGTACCTCTGTGTTTCTTCTTTATTTTTTTTTTAAATTTTTTTTATTTTTATTTTTTTATTTATTACGTATACAATATTCTGTCTGTGTATGCCTGCAGGCCAGAAGAGGGCACCAGACCTCATTACAGATGGTTGTGAGCTACCATGTGGTTGCTGGGAATTGAACTCAGGACCTTTGGAAGAGCAGGCAATGCTCTTAACCGCTGAGCCATCTCTCCAGCCCTCTTCTTTATTTTTAAATGCTGTTATGTGACCTTACATGTCTTTGGTTTCACTTAAGGTAGTTTTACACTTTCTTATACATACAGATTAACTGGAAATTCTTTGAGTCTGAAGTATCAAGATGATATTGACACTAAAATCTATCATGTGCCCTTTATTAATTTTATAATAACACCTTAAATTATATTATTGATGTGTCTTTCTTTGGGCTTGTAAATTCCATTCACAGACATGTGTGTCCTAGGGATTGAACTCGGATCATCATGCCTGGCAGCAGGTGTCTTACTCCTTTACCTGCTGAGTCATTCTAGCCCCTATATTGGCATTTAAAAAATTTTTTAAAAAGGTTTTTAAAGTTTTTTTATTGGCATTTTTAAAAGCTCCTGGACTTTATTTTTTTTTAACAAACAGAAAGGCTGTTTTGGGAGAGCCTTAATATATTTTAATGTACATGAATAATAATGGTGAAATTAATGTTTGAGATTGGTGTGAATTGGGAATTGGAGTTTGAATGGGTTTATCTACAAGGATATTTGGTAGATTTTTATGTAGATGATCTTTTCTTTTTAGCCTCCTTACCCAGGAATGGAACAACCTCCACATCATCCTTACTACCAACATCATGCTCCACCTCCTCAAGCCCATCCCCCTTACTCAGGACACCATCCTGTACCACATGAAGCAAGATACAGAGATAAACGAGTAGTAAGTGCACAGAAAGGCAGAGGTGTGAGGGAACTACTTAGAATTTCTGTAAGTAATTTACATATGGGCGTATGCTAGATTTCCATGATAAACCATTTATATTCTTAGTACAGAATCTGAATATTAATTTGCAACTTGTTTTCATTAAAACAGTTAGTTGATCATGTCATTATGTAATACTTAGATAGGCTTGTGTTTCCTGTTTCATGAGTTGAAACACTGTGTCTAAGCATTGTAGAAATGTAATTATGATATTCTTCCTAAACTAGGATCTTAATTATTGACTATATAATTCAAAACTGCTGGCGTAAATTTTTCTAAATTTACATGCAAGATAAATTATAAGGTAGTTTCTAGATCATATTTTTTTTACCCAGTCTTATTTAAAAATAATAACCACGTGACACAAATTCTAAGTAGTTCTCTCATAGTAGGGCTGTTTATTAAAACCAATTTTCTGTGTGTGTGTGTGTGTGTGTGTGTGTGTGTACTTAATGAAAATTGCTTTCTGGTACTTGATTGGAAGGATATTTCCATACACATGTAAGTTTGGTGACTGTGAATGGTAATTTAATGTTAAAGAATATATATTACAGAACTTTGGTCAGAACAGTAAATTCGTATCCTATCTTTGAGAGTTTTTTTTTTTATGGATTATTCTTTAATTCAAAAAAGGGGTCCTTTAAATTAAATCTTTTAACATTCTATAAATATTGCTAGGCTATTGACAGGCCTTATTTTTCTGTTATAATACATGGACTGCATATGGTAAAACCTAAGTTTATTGTGAAATCTTGTGTGCATGCTGATGGTGAGCTTTATGAAAAGGAAAGCAGTAACAGTCTTTGACTAGAAAGGCAATCCAAGATTTCTGAAGTTAACTAGCTCTTGCAAATAAGTTCTGTTTTATGGACCTTCTTTTAGTAATAATTAAAACTATTTAATACATTCACATTTTACTTATATATGCAAGGTAGTATAGAATTGCGTTCTAAACCTGGCTTTCTATACATTGAAGCTGAATTTTGAAAATGTCCCGCAGTGTTCTGCCTGTGCTTTACCGCCTTTATCCTTTCATCCTTCAAAATGCATTGTGTGGGATAGGCTCCCAGTATTACTGAAATAAATCTTCTTATACTTCAGAAGTAAATTTTGAGTTCATCAGATTTTTCAAAAATTTATTTTATCAAATCCCTTAAATTACTTGTTTTAGTAAATAAGTTTTAAGAACTTTATAGCCTAAGTCTTTTAAGTTGACTAGGAAGTTATAGGAAGATTTGTGGATTCCAGTTAGTGCTATAAGTGTCAAAATTAAATTCTTTGAAATCATGGTCACATTTTCTAATTTCTTCTTTACCAGACAACTGTGAGGACTCATAAATCCCACGCAAAGTTTTGCTTTGCTGATCAGTTTTCTCCTTTTTCCTAGCATGATTATGATATGAGGGTGGATGACTTCCTTCGCCGCACACAAGCTGTTGTCAGTGGTCGGAGAAGTAGACCCCGTGAAAGGGATCGGGAACGAGAGCGAGACCGGCCTAGAGATAACAGAAGAGACAGAGAAAGAGACAGAGGTCGTGATCGAGAAAGAGAGAGGGAACGAATATGTGACCGGGACAGAGACCGAGGGGAGAGAGGTCGTTATCGAAGATAATGCGCTTTTGGAAGCAGTGATTGAAGATAAACAAAAATATTGTATTTTTTTTGTGTGTTTACAAGTAGTAAATTTATTTTCAGCTGTCTACTTAAAGCTCATTGTGTAGAAGGATTTATTATCATCTTTATTCCAAGCATGCAGTAGAATAAGAACTGGAAAACTCAGTTCCACCAAAAATGCACATTTGACAGTTGACACTTTTATTGGGGCAGAATGGAACAGTCCAAGAATGTAGATATTGATTCATTCTCTATAAATGTTCTTTTTTTTACAGTATATTCATCCTAGTGTTATTTTGTTTGTTATCTTTCTTTTTGATCTTGATCAATAACTGCCATAGTATTTTGCTTTGTGTTTCTACATGTAGCTGCACACAGTTCAGTATAAAAATAATGCTGCTATCAAGTATGCAAATGTTGAAGTATGATGGTTTGACTGTATGGCAGTGTTGTAGCAACCTCTTGGTTTCTCCTCTTCCCTTTTTTTTTTAAACCTGTAAAATTACTTTTTTTTAGTCTTCAATGATGAAAGCAATATTAAGAAGACATTGCTATCTAATTTTTAATCTTTTTAAATAAAGAGTTCCCATATTCAGTAGCATGGTTGATGCTATTGTTTAGCCTTCCTTCTAAACTGTACATCGGCTTGAATGTTCACAATTTTGCGTGTGTGGCAGCAGGAGATAACCCCACATTCTACATTGCTACTGTTTTGTATGAAATAAATTGGTAAAGATTGACACTTATGTGCTGTATTCCTTGTCTGATTGCTAGTTTTATAGTGCATAAGCATAACAATATATTCTCTATTATATAAGACTGCATAGAGTGGGTTGTATAGATAATTTAGTTTGTTACTTATACATCTGATATTTTTGGATTGGTATTTTAGGCTTTTTTTTTTTTCATCTGCTGTTGAATTGCTTTCTACAGTTTAGTCTTTAGTGTTTTCACATTTTCATACATTGCTTGTCCAGCCTTTGTAACAGTTCTCTAACATAGTAAACCACATAAAATTTATAAATTTTTTTTGCATTTTAATTTCTTGAATCTGAAGGTTGGCCAGTATGAAATTAACTATCTAAACATTGGGAATGAATTTTTACTGTTTTCTTTTTGACAGTGTTGTACTTAAGAGCCTGTACAAATCAGCACATAGTTTTGTGTTTTGTCTCTACTTGTAGGCCTGCAGAGAACACAGAAGCTTCTGTATTTAAAAGTATAACTTTATCCCCTTTAAAATATCTTCCTGTGCAGTCAATTCTATGTTACCACTGTCAGAGTACAGGCTGTGGATTCATTAAATACACACATGGCTGATAGATTTGCAAGAATATTTAACTCTTAGGAAACTCAGGTTGCATGCAGTTCTGGAATTATGTTCAATGAACTAGTTGGTGATGTTAAGTCTTGTTACTCATTTTTAATTACTAATTCTTTGATAATTTTATGTTTACATTATAATTCTGTTTTTTCTCATTCCTCCACTTCCCGTTTGTCCAACTGCCCATTTTCCTCACAAGTCTCCATCTCACTTTTACATCTTTTTGTTTTTACTTGGTGATCCCCCCCCCCCACACACACACACACTCAGGTATTGTGTTCGATCAGTAAGTTACACATTGTACTAATGTCTACAGTAGTTGAACAGAACATGTAGGCAACATTAAAGTTAGTTCCTGATGTTAAAATAGATTGTAAATCACATTGAATACTCCCTGCACATGAGCACTTTTGTGTTGCTCAATATTGACCGACTACATTTATATATAATTCTGATAATTAGAATTGGGTAGCAGATTCAGAAAGTAAAATTACCCATTTCATGTTCTCTCAGAAGTTACTTCTTCATTGATAGTAAAACAGAATTTAGACATTCCCTAAGATCACGAGTAGATATCCATCCTGATCATCTTAAGCTTTAACACTTCTTCAGGCTTCATTAGTCATGGCTTTTCTTAAAAGTCCATCTAAAAGATGCTTTGTAATTGGGTGTTAGCTTCTGGTGGCTCACATTTCTAATCCTAACACAAAGTAATCCTGAGGCAGTGGATTGCCAGCAGTTCCAAGACAGCCTGGGTTATGAACTGAAATCTTGTTTGGACCCACTTCCACAAAACCTTGTTTATTTATTATTTATGTATTCATTCATTCATTCATTCATGTATCCTGCCTGTAGGCCAGAAGAGGGCACCAGATCTCATTATAGGTGGTTGTGAGCCACCATGTGGTTGCTGGGAATTGAACTCAGGACCTCTGAAAGAGCAGTCAGTGCTTTTAACCGCTGAACCATCTCTCCAGCCCTCCGCAAAACCTTGTGTATTTTAAAAGTTGGTTTTATTTTTGAGACATGGTCTAAGCAGGTAACCCTGACTATCTTGGAACTCATCTGTAGACCAGGCTGGCTATACGATCTGAGATCCACCTGCCTCTGACTCAAATTTGGGGATTAAAGGTGAGAGCCTGCCTGTCTTAAAAGCTTTTCCAGTGGATAAAAATTTGCTTTATCATTTATCCATTGTACAATGGTTCAATCCTTCTAGTTAATAATCATTGCTTTCTATTATGCCATCTTTTGGGGGAGAACATTTAACATGCATTTAAAAGCAGTCTCTTGCTCAATTATACATTACATATACATCATTGTCACTGTTGTGCATAGTCTCTGTAAAGTCTTGGTTCTTAAACTGTAAATGTGAATCCATTATTACCCTCCCCACCCCAATCATGGAGGTCAGTTTCATTTGGATTTGACCAAGTGGGATTCTGGGGTATTTCTCTTTTTCTTTAAATTATATAATCAGGATGCTTCATTTAGTAATAGTTCTCAAGAGGCATTTAATAGTTAGGAATGTGAACTGAATTTAGCTAATTATGTCCTTGCCTTGGAAGTATATATTGGCAAGCGGTTGGCTTATGAATTAGTGAAAATGCCTAATTTCTATTGACTGTGTAAGGGACTAGAAGAAATTGGAAATTCTGGTATCTAACAGCAGAAAGCAGAATGAACCGGCAGGGTGAGGCTCTACACTCTGAGAGCTGTGCCTCAATGACATAACTCTGACAAGATAATACCACCTTCCAAAACAGTGTCTGAAATGCAACTAGGGACAAAAATGGAGTAGGAGGTTTTTCTGTTCATGTGTTGCTTTCATCGGTTAATAAAGAAACTGCTTTGGGCCTGGTAGGGCAGAAGAAACCCTGAAATGCATCGTGGAGACGATCATGAGGTCACATGTGAGTGCTGGGAAGTGAACCCAGGTCCCCTGCTGGCTTATCTGCTCTCTAGAAGTTTATTAATCATGTTTCTTTTTTCTGATTCCATTTAATCATTTCATCTTTTTACTATATGAATATACATATATGTTGTCAGTGTTTTTTACTCTGTATAGGTTGTCTTTTCTTATTTGTGAGGTGTTTTACTACATGACCTTTCTGTGTAGACCAAGATCCATCTGCCTCTGCTTTTCCAGTGCTGGGATTAAAAGCATGCACAACCATAGCCAAGTCTATTTTGTCTTTTTTTTTTAATCTGTAAAATCTTACATTTTTGGTGCAGCTAAAATGGAGATTATTTGTAATTTTAGCTTTGTACTATTTTTATCTCAAGATTATAAAAAGTGCTCATTTTTTTAGGACTTTACTTATTTTGAACATTTAAAGGTATAACTCACTGATGTTAGTTCTTGTGAGGTCCCATTGAATAATTGTCCCAGAATCATTTGTAATTGAACAGTCGTGAGTGATTTTAATTTTTTTGGATTTTTTGGAGTGCTTTGCCTGCCATGTCTATGTGCATCATGTGCATGTAGTGTTCTCAGCAGAAGAGGGCGCCAAATCCCCAAGAAGAGATGTTACAGGTTCTGTGAAGAAAACCCAGGTCCTCAGCAAGAACAAGTGCTCTTAGCTAAAACATCTCTCCAGCTCCAGATGAGTGATTTTAAATACCTTTCCCTGTACCCAACCCCATCTGTGGTGGTTTGAGTGAGAGTTCTCCCATAAATCTCCATCACTTAGTGACTGGAGAGGACTGGAAAGTATAGCCTTACTTGAGTAAGTATTTTACTGAGTTTCTACTTCTTGTTTATGGCTTAAGATGAGAACTTAAGCTGCTACTCCAAAGCCTGCCTGTCTGCTGCCATGATCCTATGCCGTGGTGGTGATGAAAGTTTTGTTGGATATCTTAGTCAGGGCTGGTTTCTGTGGTCTCTTAGAATCTGCAGCAGATCTGTGTAGGCCCTTCTGGCTTTTAGATTCTCTTTTGAGAAGTCAGGTGTAATTCTAATAAGTCTCTCTTTATATGTTATTTGGTTTTCCCCCCTTGCAGCTTTTAATATTTTTTTGTTCTGTAGTTTAGTGTTTTGATCATTATCTGGAGAGGGAATTTTTTTTTCTGGTCCAGTCAATTTGTTCTGTTTGCTTTTTGTAGTATGACTGACAATCTCCTTAAGGCTAGAAAATTTTTCTTCTATGATTTTGTTGAAAATATTTTCTGGGCTTTTGAGTTGGGTGTCTTTTATTCCTATTTTAGGTTTTATCTTTTCATAGTGTCCTAAATTTCCTGGATGTTTTGTGTCAGAATTTTTTTTTTTTTTAGATTTAACATTTTCTTTGACCAATATATCCATTTCTTCTGATTGTATTTTCAATACTTCAGACTCTTTTTTTTCATCTCTTGTATTCTGTGGGTCGAATTTGACTTTGTAGCTTCTTTTGGTTTTAGAATTGTCTTCATTTGTGTTTTCTTTATTGATTGTATTTCCATTTTTAGGACTTTAGCACTTTCATTTCCTTTTGTGCAACTTTTTGTTTTCTGGATTTTGTGAAGGGACCTATTTATTTTCTCTTTGAGGACCTCTATTATCTTCATATTGTTGGTTTTAAGGTCTTTTTCCTGTGCTTCAGCTATGTTGGAATATTCAGGACCTATACAGCACAATAGCCGGGCTCTAGTTGGGACATATTGTTTAGGCTGTTATTGATTGTGTTTTTATGTTGGCTGCTAAGCTCGTGGGTTTTGGATGATTACAGCTCTATGTGCTGATTTCTGGATTTGTCTCTGGGGAAGGGTTTGCTCCTTGGTGTTTGTCCCTTCTCTGAAATTTTGGAGAGTGGAATGGTTGTGTGTTGCCTGTCTTCCTGGCCCTTTTTTTTTTTTCCTTTAAAAATTTCCACCTCCTCCCATTTCCCTCCCACGCCCCCGATACCCCTTCCCCTCCTTCTCCAGTCCAAAGAGCAGTCAGGGTTCCCTGCCCTCTGGGAAGTCCAAGGTCCTCCCCCCTCCATCCAGGTCTAGTAAGGTGAGCATCCAAGCAGACTAGGCTCCCACAAAGTCAGTACATGCAATAGAATCAGAACCCAGTGCCATTGTTCTTGGCTTCTCAGCCCTTCTTGTCAGCCACGTTCAGGGAGTCTGGTTTGATCACATGCTCCATCATCCAGCTGGCCTTCTAAGCTGGTATGGTCACAGGGAATGCTTTCTGGTGTTGGAGGCTGAGGTATGGGGATGAGTTTGGGGTGGGAAGGTTGAAGAAGGTTTTTGTGATTCCTTGGGGATGAGGTCAGAGAGGAAAGGGAGACCACAGCAGGTGTCCTGAGTCAGGGATGAGACAGAGGTGTTGGATCTAGGAACAGTAGGAGATGTGTGGGTCCACTTTCAGCCTACTTGTTACTCTGGGAGAAGCAGCCCTTGGGTTATCAGGGGGTACCTGCTGGAGTCTGTGACAAAGTAACAAGTAGGGAGAGG